CCCCGCCAAGAAACAGGCTGAACCGCAGAAAATCAAGCTGGACGAATGCTTTCTGTGGAGTAAACTGCCACCTCCACGCCGGAGCCTGCTGTTCTTCCCCGATCTCCACACCGAGGTGTCGAGATCGTGGGCCAGACCATTCTCATCACGTTTATTTGTCCCCACCTCTTCTCAGTATGCAAATGTGGCGGGGGTTAGTGACCACGGCTATAAGGCAATGCCCTGGGTGGAACAGATGCTCGTGAGCTATCTGTCCCCTGGTGCGGCATCATCCTTAAAGGCTCCGGCATGCCCTCCAAGCTGTTACATACAACATCTTGCTTGGTTGGCAAGGGGTATACGGCGGCAGGTCAGGCTGGTGCGTGTCTGCACACCATGACGGTGTTACAGGTGTACCAAGCCGACCTGCTAAAGGAGTTAGATGAAGGCGAGGAAGTAAAATCGGATGATATTTCTGAACTGCGTAGGACCACTGATTTGTCTCTCCGAGCCAACAAGGAGACCGCCCGTGCCATTAGGCGGTCTATAGCAGCTCTAGTTGCAGCGGAGAGGCATCTCTGGTTGACCCTCTCCGACATTAAAGAGAAGGACAGGGTCTTCCTCATGGATGCCCCGCTTGCGCCTTGTGGCCTGTTCGGCGACACCATCAATTCCGTCGTCGACAGGTACCAGGAGGCTCGTAAACAGGCGGCGTTCCAGCGGTTCCTCCCTCGCTGCTCTCTAGCTCTGGGGGCTGCTGGATGGGAGCAGCCCTCGCGTGTACCTCCTCCTCATACCACGAGGCACAGAAATTGAGAGTGTCGCTTCTCTTGCTCCCCCGCAACAGGACTGAGTTCAGCGGCGCTCTAGATCGGGGGCTTCAAAGTGATACCTTTTGGCCTGCTGTACATGAGACCCCTACAGTGGTGGCTCAAGACCAAGGGGTTCTTCCTGAGGGGAAGCCCGCTTCGCATGATCAAGGTCATGCGGCGATGCCTACGTGCCTTGGACATGTGTAGGAAGTCTTGGTTCTTGTCTCAGGGCCCGGTGCTGGGAGCTC